TGAAGGAATGCCTTGGGTTCAAGAGCCAGAGCATTAGCAAAGGGGAGGGGGCTTAGGGAATAACACAGGGGTGGGCAAGTAAGGCCTGAGGAGGCATCAGTGCCAAGCTGGGGAGGGGGTGGGCAGGTGCCCTTCCCCCTTCCCCTCAACTTGGGCCCCCAGCTAGTGGCCTGGGAGAACCCTCTCTCCTGGCTCTATTCCAGCCAATTCCCTGGGCCACCTCCCCTGAGGTGCAGGTCTTGAGGGAGAGGTTTCCTGAAAAAACAGGGCCCCTTCCTACCCATCAAAGCCTCCTCTCCTGCAGGGAGCAGGGAAGACTGAAGCCGAGAAGATCCTTCCCCATTCCTCAAAGCCTGACATTCCATACAGGATCCGCCTGTCCAGGCTTCAGCCCTGCCTCATTCCAGGAGGAAATCCGACCCCCTCCCTTCATCCGGACCCCACTTCCCTCATCCAAACCCCCCCCCCCGGCTTTTCCTGTCAGCTCCTTGGTGGAAAGACGAAGAGTGGAGAGCAGGGATGGGGCTAAGAGGCAGGAGTGGGGAGAACAGTGGCTGGGGTGCGGGGCCAGGCGCTGGGAGGCAGGCGCGGGCCAGAGTGGGTGGAGGCCCCTGAGAACCCAGGCGTCGGCAGGGAGTCACGGTCCAGCTCTCCCACCTCTCCTGCTACAGGAGCCCGCCCTGCTCCCACCTCACACACCCACCTGGGCCCGTGAGGCGCTGGGAGGGTCTCCTCTACTGCGATGCAGAGGTGAGATGAGGAGGGGGTGACCTGGTGGGGGGGGCTGCGGACAGGAGTGGCTGGAGGCCTGCTGGACGGGGACCCAGGCACCTGCCCTCCCAGCCGGCACTGTCCACGGCCAGTTAGCCAGCTCAGCATGGCTCCGCCACCGCAGCCCTGCCATGCGCCTTGAGCTGGGAATCACAACGTACCTCTTTTTCCAGACAGCCCCCCAACTGCAGCCCCTCCTCCATCATGCGCCCATCAACGTTTCTTTGGTGCACCCCAAATTCTGAACCTGGGAGGCCTTCTGGGGGCTGTCAGATTCCGGGTCGAAGAACCCCATTCGAGCAGCCGATCCGCCCACCGCCTCACCCACTCCCCCTCTCCTCTCCCCTCCCCCCTTCAAACCCAGCTCTAGGCGCCCAGCCCCCGTCCGGGCCCAGGGTGGCAGCCGCTGCCTGGGCTCCCACCCAGCCGGGTCGGGAGCGAGGAACCCGCTGGGGGCTGCAGAGCGGGCGGCCGCCCCAGCCCGCCCCTGGGCGGGTGTGTTCGATAGACAATGGCTCAGGCAGCAGCGCCTCGCGGACCAGGAGGGAGAAAAACAAGGCGGGAGGGGGCGACGGCGCGGAGCCTGGGGACCCCCGCCCTCTCCATTGTGTCTCCCCGAGACCCCCGCCCGGAGGTCTCCCTCTCCCGCCCTCCTCTCCCCCGTAAGCGAGGACCCCAGGTCGCCTAGCTCCCCCCACCCAAATCCAGGGAATAGAACACTCCCCAATTCGCGAGCGCCGCGAAGAGGGGGCTGGCGGGCGGGGGCCCGACCGCGGGGGTGGGGGGCTCAGGCTCGCGATCACTGCCTCTCCCGGCCGACACTCACCCTGCGGGCTGGGGGACTCCGGCGGCGACTTGCCGGGAGCCCGGGAGGCGCCGCCGAGCAGCAGCCCCAGCAGCGGCAGCAGCCGCGCGAGGACGCTGGGGCCACTCGCCGGCGGCATCGCGGGGCTCGGCCCGGCCCTAACGGCCCATGGCTCCCGCCCGGCCCCGCTCGGCCGGCCCCGCTCAGCCCCAGCTCTGCGCCGCGCCGCGCGGCTCGGGCTCCCGCTCGCGTTCCAGCTCTTGCTGCGGCGGCCGCTCTGTGCGATTGTCTCCGCCAGGAGACGCCGCCAGCGCCCCCTGCAGGCGGCGCCCCACCACGCGGGACTCCGGGCACCGCCCCCTCGCTGTCCACAGCCCACCCTGAAGACCCCGCCGTGTGCCCAGACCCCCAGCTGCTAGGGAGGGTAGCGAATAGGGTCCAATCACAGGGGTTCTCAGAGTTCCTGAGCCCCGGAAATTTGTTGCAGAATTTTGAGAGGGAGAATGACTGTTGCTTACAACACAAAGGGTTGGTCATAAGTGTCTCCTCAAACTGTAAGAACTGCCCAGTTCTCTCCGCACAAACACCTGCTCAATGTTGGGGAGGTAGGGCGCAGCCCCCTTGGGAATCACCCAGTCTGGGTTCTCGTCTAGCTTCTTCCTCTTCTTGAGCCATAAGCTAGTTACTTAATCTTCTGCTCCACAGCCTTCCTTTAAAATGAGAGTTGTAATAATCTCTACCTCGTGGGGTTATTGTACCAATTAAAAGAGATAATGACGTAAAGGGTCTAGCATGTGCTTGACTGGATGGTGCTATTGCTGGCCCAGCGTGAGGTGGGGCTCACCACCGCCCGGGTAGTAGCAGATCCATCGCTGGGCAAACATAATGCTTGGAACCCCACGTTTGAATCCCACACTGGAAGCTTGCCCGGGCCCCAGCCAAGCGCTCTTTCTTCCCAGTTTCTGGTTGTCCTCGTCATTCAACTTCTGGGTGGTCAAACCCTCATCTAATCTGGTTATCCCTCTCCTGGTTCTCTCTGGCTTGTCACCTCTTTCTCACAATATGGTGCCCTGTATAGGACTGGATGCTTAGGGCAAGGAACTCCGTCCGCCAGAGGTCAGGCTTTTCTCCTGGTTAGGTTCTGGTTGGGTCTCCTGACATAAGGACACATCGTTGTGAGCTTGTGAATAAAACCACCTTTCTTTCTTCCTTTTTCTGTCTTTCTTTCTTTTCTTTCTTTCTTTCTCTTTCTTTCTTCCTTCCTTCTTTCTTTCTTTTTCTTTCTTTCTTTCTGTCTTTCTTTCTTTCTTCCTTTCCTCCCTCCCTCCCTCCCTCCTTCTTTCCTTCCTTCCTTCCTTCCTCTCTCTCATTCTCTCTCCCTCCTTTTCTCTTTCTTTTTTTCTTTCTCATAAATTTCCATCTATTCAGATTTCCCAGTCTTATGTAACCAATTTTTTTCACAACCTCACCGGCAGGATTTAGCACTCATCCCTGGTGAATTTCATCTTGTTGGTTTCAACCCAACTTTACAATCTGTCAAGGCTGCCTTGAATCTGCTTCATCACCCATTGTATTGGAGCTGCCTCTCAGCCCGGAGCCATCTGCAGGGTGAAGAACAGCTTCGCTGCCTCCATTCAAGGGGCTCATGACAATCACAGGCAGCGGAAGGATGGAGCTTTGGGACACCCCCATAGAGATCTCCTTCAGCTTTATCAAAATTGTTCGGTTTTAAATCTGAGTCTCTATCATTCAGCTCACATTTCTGTCTTGTTTATAAGGACAAATGCCAAATGCTTTGCTGGATCAAGATAAATTGTCTGGGGCCATCCAATTACAATGGTGGAGGGGAGAGGGAGTTTGGCTGGTGTTCAAGGATCACAGCTTACTCTTTTCCTAAATGGTCACAGTCACACAACTAGAAAACTGTTCTGGAACTTGCCAGGCATGGATGTCAAATTGTTCTCTTCTTTTCAGAATTTACCTTTCACCCCTTTGGGTAAAATCAAATACCAGCAGCTCTTGTGAGGTAAGTCTGTAAATCAGTGGCTTCCCCCAACACTTAGCATCAAGTCCAAAGTCTTCCCCATGGCCACAGCCACAAGGTGCTGCCTCCCTGCCCCCACCCCTGACCTCGTCTGGACCCCTCTCCTGCCTCCAGCCCAGAGGCCTCCTTTCTTTCACTTGAATACATCAAGCCTGCTCCCACTTCAGGCCTCTTCATTGGCTGCTCTTTCTGTCTAGAACACTTTATTCCCTCCAGCTGCCTGCCTCATTCATTCATCTCTCTGCTCACCTCATTAGAGAGACCTTCCCTGACTACTCTCCCTAAAATGTCAGCCCTCTCCCAACACCCACTGAATTCGATCACTATCTCCTTATCTTTATTTCAACTCCCAGCATTGACTGCCACTGACCATACATTAATTTGTTTATTCTTTACTCCTGGTTGAATGTAAGTTCCATGAGCTCAGGGACCTTGTTTTGTCCACTGCTCCACCCCAGCACTGGAACAGTACCAGGTCCATGGTGCTCAATAAATATTGAACTCATGAACCAACAACCTCTCAGGACTCCAAGAGGACCCCCCACCTCTATCCGCTGACTCCAGTCTCTGCGGTGGGACAGTTGTATTCCACTCCCAGCCTTCCTGTGAGCTCCCCACCTGTGCCCTTGTTCCTAACTGAAGACCCTTCCCCTTGGCGGGGAAGAAGGAACAGCAAACAGCAGGGTGGCCAGAGAGCAATGCCTGCTCTCCGTCCCTGCCGTGACTCTGCCTTCCTCAGACAGGGCTACTCAGTCTCCTTCTGCCCCTCGTCACTCTGAGCACAGCTTTAGGCACCTTCTTTTATGAGTGGGGACAGTGTGTTATTTCTCCAAATCTCAGATCATCTTGAGGTTTGATTCCCTCAAAATCATGGAAAAAATATTGTTTAAAGCCACCCACCAGGGACACAGCCTGCCTTCTCGATGCTCCCAACCCCCGTCCCACCCAGTCACCCTCAGACACCCCATCCCCCTCCAGTCTCACTTGGAGGCTCTGCCACCCTTTCTCCCTTGTTCCACCCCCACTCTCTACTCCCTGACACTCCCCAAAGACAGTAATTCGCACCCTTTGCCCTGGCAGAGACCTTCTCTGCTCACGCTTCTGCCAGCCCCAGGTTCCCCATCCCAACGCCACCTCAGGCCCCCTCTCCTCCTCTGACCCCAAGAGGAGGCATCATGCTGGGGGTTGGGACTCAACCTCTTTATTAGGCAGCAGGAAAGGGGGTGGCCTGGCTCTGATGGGTGGGGAAGGACATCAGGAGCCCTCCATGAAACAGCTCCAACCCATGGGTGACCAGAGCTGGGGGGCACTCTCTGGAGAAGGGACAGAGCAGGCGTCACCCCCAGCCTTCCTGCTATAGGACAGAGACGCATGGGCTCATCACCCCTCTTCATCATCTTCTTGTAAAAAGGGTGGCCGATTCCGCTTGAAGAAGCCAACCTGGGGGTGCACAGGGGCCGGGGACAGGGTGTAAAGGTGATTTTTAGGCCCCAGAGCAGCAGTGGAGGATATACGCTGGAAACCAGCCAGTCACGAGGTCCTCGTCCTGGACCAGCACGGAACACAAACCCCACTATACGATCAAATGGAGGCCTTTCCCCATTTAGAGATAATGCATGTAACAAAATTTTTTTTTAATGTTTTGTTTTTTCTTGCCTGAATTTTTCTTAAGTACTGATGATTATGTCTCTATATGACTCAAGCGTGTGATGGTATATATTTGATTATTATAAGTCTAATGTGTGGTTTTCCCTAAAAGCGCTATGGCTTTCCAGGGTTTGGACACGTGAGTTTGAGAACGGCTCACATGTTGTCCAGGCGCAGAGGAGGGAGTCACCCAGCAGGGCCTCACAAGGAGCAGGAAGCGGGGTCTGGATCAGACCTGGGTCTCCCACCTCAGTCGGGGGGGGCGGGGGGTGGGGGGAGGACAGAGCAGGGAGGAGGTGAACACTGTCCTTCTCGGTGGCCAATGGATTCCTGAAGGCAGGGCTCATTCCCTGGGACTCCTGCCCTCAGGGGGAATGGGTCTAAAGGCCTTAGAATTTTTTCAGGTGCCACCTCTCCCAGGGATCTGTGCCCTGGAAGAGGTCCTCTAGAGAGTGACATTCTAATAGTGGAGACAGAGATCAGATGGACCCTGGGTCACATACTTGGGCCACCATCTCCCTCTGCTTCCCTGCGGGGTTGCCCCCCCCATCCCCAAACCCACCCTCCCTTCCCGCCTCACCTTCCACATGGCCAGGACCAGGAATGTGAGTAACAGCAGGCCACCCAGCACGCCTAGCAGCACCCACCAGATTGGAATGTCTCTCTCCTCCAAGACCCGAAGCAGCTGTGTCTGCACCTGAGGGGAGACCCGCGGGTCTCCTCAGTCACCTGGGATGCTGACCTTCCCAAAGACTCAAACTTGCAGGGCTGGTGACCCCCAGCTGAGCCACCTACTTGTCCCACCCCACAGACCCAGGGAGGCCCCGCCCCCATCCTGCTGGGCAGGGACACAGGGGAAGGCCAACGGGAGACCCGCGGGACCCCTTTCTGCCACCATCCTTCCACACTCACCAGAGCTTCCCCGCTGGGCAGGCTGAGGGCGGGCACGGCGTAGGGAAGGGAGGAGACGTTGAACCAAGCGTGCGACTGCAGCACAAACTGATCCAGGGGCCTCTGGATGGGGTAGCGGTGAAAGCCATTTACACGAGGCCTGTTGGTTGCGGGAGTACCAGCCCCAGACTCCCCTCTGGGGAGATCTGCCCCCAGCCTAACCCCGTCCCCTCCAAAGTAAACTCTGCCCTCACTCTCTCCCGCCCCCGAAGCCCCGCCCTCCCCCAACACATTCAGTGCCCGCCTCCAGAGGGCCCCGCCCGCCCGCATCCCGGCCCACCTGGCGGAGGCTGGGCAGCGACAGGAAGGCCAGCACCGTGACCATGACCCGCTGCCCGCGCGCCATCTCCTGCAGCTCACACTGCACCACAGTACAGGGCGCCGAATCGCAGCTCTGAGGGGATGTGTCATTGGTCCCCAGCCCCTCCTGACCCATCACCCTCTCACCGTAGGACCCAAGACAGAGGGGGCTGGGGGGTCAGGGAGCTCAGGCCGGGCCTCCTCCTCGGGAAGGGACTCAGATTCAAGCTTGGGACGTTATCTCTGAATGAGATTGCTCCCACAGTCCCAGAGATGCAGGGAGAGGGAGGAAAGAAGTGGGTCAATCACACAGCGTTCAATACCCAGCCTTTTTGTAAACCTGCTTTGGCATTTATTCATTTTCTTTAATGTACTGGAAACCTTAAAATATGCAAGTGCCCCCCACCCTGCCCCAGACACAAGACCAGCACAATCCTTCCTATTCACTTGGAGGACTCTGTGGGACCACGGTGGCCCACACGAGGCCTACATCACACCCCCCAGCCCTCTCCGTCCCTGCCTCCCATCCCCTCCGCCCCTGGGCGCCAGGGAGGCTGCAGCTGGAGACCACAGAGCCTGCTCACCACAAAAACTGGGCCTTGAAGCCTCAAGGGCTGCTCCTGTTCCGGCAGGAGCGCCTGTCTGCGGTCCCGCTTGTGATAGGCCTGGGAAGGGCTGGAGGTGGGCAGCCCCCAGTCCAGCTGAGGAGGCAAAGAGGCCATCAGGTCCGACACTCTGCCCATCTTCCAGCCCTCCTAGAGGGGCCCTGTTTATTGGGCTGGGGACTCACCCAGGCTCTCACCTTGAGGGGGTTGGGAGATGGCTGTGGGGAGCATTGAAGGCCTCCCCGGGGCTGTATATCCAGGATGTAGAGAAGGTCGGAGGGCTGGGACTGGCCGGGGAGGCGGAGGTTGAGGCGGAGGCCATTTACAGCACCAGGGCCATTGTTGTGGAGCTGGCGGGTGGTGGCGGCAGGATGTTAGGAGGCTCAGCACCTAGCCCAGCCCCTGGGGCCCTCCCACTCCAGCCTGGGGCGCGGAGGCTCCTCCCTACCTCATAGGTGTGCTCCACTTTGGGGCCCCAGCTGTCCGAGCTGTTCTCCCTCTTGCTTTCTTCTGCTGCCACCACCAGGGAGGCTGGAAAGGAGTTCCTGCAGGGGCCCGGCACTCCCAGAGTGAGCTTGATCCCCTGACTTGGCGGGGGGCTTTGCCCAGGACCCCGGAACCTTAGGGCTGTGCCTACTAACTCCCTTTTCCATCCCTGGCCTCTCACCCTCTCAGCTCCACATGGGCCTCTGCCCGAACTGGCACATCCAGCATCACCATCTCACTGTTTGGATTCTGGCTGTTCTTGCTGTAAGGGAGGGGGATGAGGAGAAACAGATCAGGGACACCAGGCCAGTGAACATGAGGACTCTCTGGGGCCAGAATTTCAGAGGTCTCAGGAAGAGCTAACTCCACAAACAGCATGCCACACTAAAGTTAGACCTAGACAAGAACTTCCTCTAGGGCTCCAAAACTCAGAAACAAGTCTCTGAGGAAGAAAGAAAGGGAAGAGGGAAGTCTAAAGAGCAGGCATCCCAGAAGACCCTTATGTATGGAGGGTGTCTGAGGGTCTCTGTGTGGAGCTCAGATAGGGGAACAGAGTGCTTCCCAGTCTAGTACCTCCTGATCTGCAGCCGGAAGGACACGTGCTCCCCAGCCTCTTCCAGGTTCCCCACACTCACCAACATCGTGATTCCTATCTGAGACATGGGGAGAGCCAAAGTCACTGCCCAAATGCCCACTCTGAATGTGGCCTGTGGTCTTCATCCTCCAAGGTCACCATTATTACCTCCATTTTGTTCAGAAGCTCACTCAGAAAGGGTGTCACTCACCCAAGAACACACAGGTAGGGAATGGGAGGACCAGGATTCTAGCCTGGAGCCACCTGACTCCAAACCCAGCCCCTAAAACCCAGCTGCTATGAACCCCTGGTGGAGGAGACCCAGCACCCAGGACTGGGTGGCCTCACCTGGGCGTTCCTCTTCATGGGGTTGCCCAGCTCACACAGTACCACCTTGGTCTCATTCTCCCTCTTCTGGTTACAGATGATCCTCTCAAAGCCCTTCAGAGAGGCAGTCCCGAAAAAGAAGATGATTACAGAGCATCCCATATATAATTAAGCTCCCTTGGAGAGTCAGGGAGAGGAGGATGCCAGGGTGGGAGTTCAAGGACTGTCACATTCCACTTTATGTATTACTGCAACACCTTATTCTTTTTAATGATTTTTTTTTTTTTTTTTGGAAATAAAACCCACAAAACATTACATGGAGTATAACCCCATTATTATAAACTACGTCAATAAAATAAATAAATAAATAAAGTGTTGATGCTGAGAATAAAGACTGGAAGGAAATTCACCAAATGTTAACAGAGGCTCCTGTTAACATTTATTTCCTGAGCCATTTTTGGTTTGGGTTTTATAATCGAGTTCTTGAATTTTTTGCCATTAGCAAATGTTCTCTTCCAAATTAAAAAGAAAAGAAAAAATCACAGCTTTTAAAGGCAGGCAGAAGAGAAGTGGGAGCTCTCAGGTGGGAGATGAGAATCAAGCCTCCTGCACCTTCTAGGTCCCCGACCGTGCCCCGGGGTGGGGGCCTCACCTCGATGTTGCTGAGGGCCCGCATGTAGTGTGCGCCTGGAGGCAGGTGCACGGCCAGCTCGGCCTCGTAGGCTCCCTCACCCTCGTTGGCCGCTTCCATCTGCAGCTCCAGCACGTTATCGGCTCCAATGAGGAGGGGGGAGCCTGTCCTGTGGGGAGAAAGGAGTAAAGCCGAGGAGGCCGGGTCCAAGCCCAGGGTCTGGGAGGAGGAGAGGGGCTGAGGACAGAGTATCAGGAGCCAGGTGGGGAGGGGGTGTCATAGGGGTAGACAGGGCCAGGGTTGGGTAGAGCGGGCGGTCTCCTCACACGCTGGCAGTGAGCTGGAGCTGTGGCACACACAGGTCGTCTTCCCCACAGTCCAGAATGATGCGGGTCTAGAGGGGGCACATCAGGTGTGTGGGTAAGTTTGGGGGCACATCAGGGCTTAGGGAATTAGAAGGTCTGAGAAGGAAAAGGAGGTTGGAGATGACATCAGAGCTTTGGGGTTTGCATCAGGGTTTGGGATGATGTCAGGGCTTTGATAATGACATCAGGGTTAATGGGTTTATATCAGAGTTTAGAGGTGACATCGACATTTGGGGTTTACATGAGGGTATAGGGGATATTGAGATTTGGGGGTTTTCAGCAGGGTTGAGAGTAACATCAGAGATTAGAGGTGACATCTAGGTTTGGGGGTTCACAATACGATTTGGACACTAACTCTAACCCTGACTTTCTGGGTGGAGGGGTCCTCCACCTCCCTTGCCTGCACCTGCCCACCCCTACCTGTTCCTGGATGTGGGTGTCTCCGTGCAACATGAGAGCAGGGTCTAGTCCATCCTTCTCAGGCTGCAGGGACACATTGAAGCTGAGCACGATGGGGCTCAGCTTGTCCCGGAAGTCGGCCTCATCCTAGTGAGGGGGCAAGAGTCAGGCCATCTTGCTACCATGTACCCTAATACGTGTGTCCCACTGACCACCCCGTGCAGCACCCAGCCCAATGCCCCAGGGCTGGATGAACAGGCTCTGCACACCCAGCCCTGCCCATTCCCAGCCGGGCATACTCGGAGGAAGGCCTTGGTGGTGTGGCAGGTGGGGCCGTGCCTTCCGCTCAGATCCAGGCCCAGGATGGTGCTCGCCTGTTGAGAGGCCAGCAGTAGCACCCGCCGGCCCTGGCGGGGCTTCTGCCGGTCCAGCTGCAGCTCAGCATTTAGGCCTGGCCGGGCAAGCAGGGAGTGTCAGGGTCTCCCTGGCCAGCCTCCAGGGGAGCCCAGGCCCACCTCCCTCCTGTCCCCATGGTGCCACTCACGCAGCTTCTTGGGAACGTTGTGTCCAGTGGCTCCCACACACATCTGGATGTTAAAGCTGCAAAGATGTGAATGGGGCTCAGGGGCTAGGGTCCCCGCACTGAGGTCCCAGATCCTGCCTGGCCCATGGCCCTCTGTCTCCTCACCAGCTCACTGGTGTCTCGGTCAGGGGCAGGACACAATTCTTCACAGCAGGATTCAGCGAATCTTGCACCAGCAGCTGGACAGTGGCCATCACCACCGGCTGAGCCCTGGTGGGATGCAGGAAGCTTGCCTTGTGGCCCCTCCTGGCCTAGTCTCCTCTGATGGTGTGGGTCCTCCCTCTCCCCACCCCTGGAGTCAGGGCTCACCTGTACACAACAACCTTGTTGGCCCCGTAAGCTCCCACCAGCAGGTCTATAGACATTGTGGGAAGGAAGGGAGGTGTCAGAATTGTTAATCAGATGGAGTATGGCGTCCTCACCTCATTTTCCAGCACTTCCCCACAATACCACCCCCACAGAAGGTTTGTTCTGGCCCCCCAGCCCCACAGACAGGTCAGAGCTCTCAGTCGGGCACCAGGTCAGGTTCAAGCCCCTGGCTGTGTCTCAGCATCTCCAGCTAATGCCCAAGAGCCCTTCCTGTCTAGCTGGAGGCAGTCCAGGGGCACCTGGGTATCCATTGTCATCGATGTCTGTGGCACCTCGAAGGGAGAAGCCAAAGCCAGAGCCTGTGGGGAAGGGGCTGTCCAGGACCTGGGAAGGGTGTGAGTTAAGTCCCTCACTCTGACCCAGGAACACCAACACTTGGCCTCGACCGCTGGGACCCCCATAGGGGGCGGCCACAGCAACATCTGGAAGGAGCAACAGAAAGGGGGTGGCTGTTTGTTATCCAGTCTCTCCAGATGGCCCTGTAAAACTTTCCTGAGCTCCTTCTCTGGGCAGACTCCAGGGGACCAGGAGAGGAATGCAGAGGTCTGGGTCAAGGAGAGAGCTGCCCCGCCCTCCAGGAGTTTACAATTTGGGTAGGAGGGAGACCCATCAAGTCCGATTATTGTAAAAACAATAACAGCCCTCACTATCTATTGAGGAAAATATAATGACATGATTTCACTTAATCCTGAAAATTAGGCATTATTATTCCCATTTTAGATGGGCTCGTCATCACTAATAACTTTTAAGATCACTCTTGAAAATTTAATAATCATCATAATCTTATTAATCTGTAAGAATTCTTTGCATGTGATAGAAATTAAAATCTTTGATATATATGTTGTAATTGTCTTTCCTTTGTCTTCTGACTTTATGCTATGTTTCCTGTGCAGTTGTTTTCTTTTAAAAACCTTTATTGATTTTTCTGATCGAGGTACACAGAATTCATCCAAATAGACCATTCAGACCAGTCTCGTCCTCAGGCCCTGGGCCTCCACTGTCTCCTGACCTTTGGCTTCCTCATCTCTTCATTTATTTTCTGATCATTCAGTCACCCTCACCGTATCCTCAGCCATCCTGCCCCATTGCCAGTCCTGGGCAAGCCTGGCCAAACCCCACCATATGGAGCACCATGAATTCCTGACCTCCAGCCTTCACTAGGGACCTTGGTGCTGCCCAGCAGTCCCTTGGCGTTTTCTGCTCAGCACCTATTTCAAACCTTCTCCACTCAGTCAAGCTCCTAGCCCCCCACTTCATTCACAAAGAGAAGCAGCCCAACTGTTGTGTTATAACTCCACACCCACTTTTTCCTCCTCTCCCCATTTGACCCTGGAATAGGTGTCCCTCCTACACCTGCCACTGGGCTGAGCATCCCACCCCTGCATCCCTCAGGCATTGCAGGGACCCTCCTCCAGCTCACCGCATGCCCCCATTTCCCCATAAGATCATTTTCCTCCACATTCAACTTACTCCATATTCTTTGAAATTAAAATAACCTCCTCTCGACCCTCATCTCCTTTCAGTAAGCACCTTTCTTTTTCCGTTCACAAACTGGTTGAAAGAGTGGTCTACCGTGGCTGCCATCAGTTCTTCCCCTCCATTCATACCTTGCCTCCTGGCATTCTGGCTTTGGTCCCTACCCAGCCCTGAATCGGTTCTTGTCACTGTCACCAATCACCTCCTTCTTGTTAAAGCCCATGAATACTTAACTTCTCCAGCCCCATCTAATTGTACCTCTCAGCAGCATCTGGAGCCACTGACCCAACTTCCTCCTGCTTAAAGCACTCTTCCTTTGAGTTCTGGGCTATCAGATCTCCTGGTTTCCCTCCTACCTCTCTGAACATTCCTCTGTCTCCTTTCCAGACTCACTTTCTCTGGGAGTCCCCTAAATGCTCTTGCTCCCCAGGGCTCTGTCCTGGGCCTCTTCACACTTCGCAAGCTCCCAGGACCTCATTGACTCTCCCCAGTCCCCTATCTCCCGCTCAGACCTCTCTGCTGGAAGTGGGGGAAGCCACACCCAGATGTTCTCTGGATATGTCTGCCTAATGCTCCCAAGCCCTTCAAGATCAAACAAGTACAGAGAATTCCCTGGCAGACCAGTGGTTAGGACCCAATGCTCTCACTGCCAGAGGCCCGGGTTCAATCCCTGGTCAGGGAACTAAGATCCCACAAGCCACACGGCACAGCCAAAAAAAAAAAAAAAAAAAAAAAAAAAAAAAAAAAAGCC